GTTCTTGTAGGCAGTATTGTAGTGTGGTCTTGCTTCTCTATTCAATTTCATAATCTCTTCTTTCTAATTGGAGTGTTTGGATAATTTAGTGTGATAATCAGTATGTTTGGGTTTAAATTTACCATTTTGGTGTTTTCTATCTTTCGCATTTGTTCTTATGCTTTTTTTCTCTTTTCTTTCCTTTTTAATTATTTTTTTATGATTCCACTTGTTTCCTTTATTGACTTAGTAGTTTTACTTCTTTCTTTCGTTTTTGCTCTTTGAATGGTTGCTTTAGGATTTATAATCCATATCTTTAAATTATCATTCTCAGATTGTTATCTGTATAGTATGAAAACCTTACAATAGCCTACTTCCATTTCCTTTTTTAATTTTAATTTTAATTTTTTAAATTTATTTTTGGATGTACATCATATTTTGAATTCTGTGTAGATTACATCATGTTCACCACTCAAAAACTAATTATAGTCCATCCCCTCACATGTGAGCCTAATCACCCCTTTTACCCTCCCCCATGATAGCCACCAATCCAATCCCCAATGCTATGTGTTTTTTTTTGTCGTCGTTTTTGCGATCATATGGTATTTGACTTTCTCCCTCTGACTTATTTCTCTCAGCATAATACCCTCAAGGTCCATCCATGTTGCCATTTCCTCAACCCTGGCCTTTGAGCTATTGTTATATATTTTATTTCTTCATGTGTTGTAAACCTCAGAATTCACTCTTATTATTTTTGCTACCCAGTCACTTCTCTTTTCAAGAAATTAAAAATGAGAAAATTTTTTGTTGTTTACTCATGTTTGCCATTTCCAGTGCTCTTTATTCCATTGTGTACATCAGGGTTCAGCAAACTTTTTTGTAAAGAGCCAGAAAGTAAACATTTTCAGCTTTGCAGTCCACACAGTCTACGCTGCAGACACTCACCTCTGCCAAGTAGCACCAAGACAGCCACAGGCGTACACAAATGAGTGAAGATAGCTGTTTTCCAGTACAACTTTATTTAAGAAACAAGTGGTAGGAGTAGTCTGCCAGTGCCTGTTGTAGATCCAAGTTTCCATCTGGTATTATTTTCTCTTTGCTTGAAGAACTTAAACTTTTCTTGTAGTGCTGGTCTGATGTGTTCTTTCAGCTTTTGTGCATTAGAAAAAGCCTTTATGTTCCCTCCATTTCTTTCAGATTATTTTTCTAGATATAAAGTGATAGGTCAACAAATTTTTCAGTGCATTAAAAGATATCACTCAGGGGCCGGCTGGTGGCACAGCGGTTAAGGGTGCACATTCTGCTTTGGCAGCCTGGGGTTCACTGGTTCAGATCCCGGGTGTGGACATGGTACCGCTTGGCAAGTCATGCTGTTGTAGGCGTCCCACATATAGAGTAGAGGAAGATGGGCACAGATGTTAGCTCAGGGCCAGTCTTCCTCAGCAAAAAAGAGGAGGATTGGCAGCAGATGTTAGCTCAGGGATAATCTTCCTCAAAAAAAGAAAAAAAAAAAGATGTTACTCTGCTTGTCACTGTTGACATGAATTCTGTTATTGTTTTCTTTGTTCTCTGTAAAGTATTTTCTCTGGCTGCTTTTAGGATTTTTCTCTCGCAAACTGGTTCTCAACGATCTGATTATAAGGCACCTTGGTGTGGTTCTCTTCATATTTCTTCTGCCGGGGTTCATTGAGCTTCTTGGATCTGTGAATTCAGAATTTCCATTAAATATAGAAAAATTTCCTTCATTATTTCTTTAAATATTTTTTTCTGTTGATGTTCCCTCCCTCCTCGTTTTTTTTTCACTCCAGTTACAGGTTACACATGTGATAGGCCACTCGTGTTGTTCCTCAGCTCCCTGATACTCTCTTCTTTCTCCCAGTCTTTGCTGTCTCTGTTTCATTTTGGATAGTTTCTGTTACTATGTCTCCAAGTGTACTAACCTTTTCTTGTTCAGTGTTTAATATGTTATTTTCCCATCTGGTATATTTTTCATCTCAGAAATTGTATTTTTCATCTCGAGAGACTTGGTTTGGGTCTTTTTAATATCTCCCATTTCTCTCCTCATTTATACTCATATTTTTCTCTGCCTTCTTGAATACCTGGAGTAGTCTTATAAAGCTATTTTAATCCTTGTCTTGGGAATCGAGCATATGTATCATTTCTGCATTCTGTCAATTGTATCCTGTCTGAATTGGCTTATACTGATTGATTTTTTTCCTGATTAGTAGTCGTATTTTTCTGCTTTTTTGCTTGTCTGGTAATTTTTATTGGATGGCAGACACTGTGAATTTTGCATTGTTGGCTGGGTCTTTCTTCTTTCTTTCATTTTTCCTTTCTCCCTCCCTTCTTTCCTTTCCTGTCTGTCTGTATCTATCTATCCATCCATCTGTTTGGATGGGAGGGATGCAATGAAATTAGATTTATTATCTCTGTGTTTCTTTTAGTTTCACCAGCCTGGCCTAGCAGAGCCTTTACTCTGTCGGCCCTGCTATTTAGGCAGCACCTTTCTGAGGGGACTGACGGGACTTGACGTCCTGTGTGTGAGGACTTTTTTACACTGTGTCTGGTGGGAACATGAACCGCTTGCACCAATGGAAGCTCCAGTGGTTGTTCTGCCGACTCCTTTCAGGTCGGTTTCCCCGCCGTGGTGGTTTCTTCATGTGTGTGAGCCAGATCACTGCTCGGCTGACACCTGTGCAGATTCCAGCTGCTGCTCTCTCTGCAGCTGCCTCTTCTCTGTTACTTTTTCCCCTAAAAAGTCCAGACACCTCGGCCTCCGTGAATAACAAACTCTGTCTTCTCAACCCAGTACAACCTCAGGCTCGGTGTGGATTCTCGCTCCTTGTGGTGCAGCCTGGAAATATCTTCAGACAGGGAGCTAAGGCACTCATGGGCTCACTTCATTTATTTCCTTTCTCTCAGGGCTTGGTGTCCTGCACGCTTGTTCTTCAGTGTCTGGAAGCTGTCGTTTCTTATTTTGTCCAGTTTTCCAGTTGCTTAAAGCAAGAGAGATTTTTTTCCAATTCCTTTTGAATTAACATGATGTCTAGAAGCAGAAGTTTTACTCCTCTTTTAATTCTTTCATCATGGTCCCTGCTTTCATATTTTTATACCTTTTAAAATGAGCTCACCAAAAAATTTCATTGGAATTCACCATCTCTTTTCCTCTCTAGTGGGCACTAGAGTTTTACTTTTTAGACTACCCTGTCAAATCCTCCTTGAACATAATTCATCATAAATATTTGGCACATTTACCACATGCTACCATGCTAGATGCTAAAGATGCAAAGATGAATGAAATACTCCATTATGCCTGCTTTTTCTCTGTTTTTTTTGAAATCTGTGTTTTTGGGGTCTAGAGCAGTGCTTTTCAGGATGTAGTCAGCACGCTGGTGCTAGTCCACGAAGTGTTCGCCATGATGGACAACACAATAGCGCATTGTTTAGCTCACCTAGATTTTTTTTCCCAAAGCAGGACCTTGTTGAAGGAAGCAGTGTGTCGGCTTAGATGCTGGCGAAAGCTCCTTCTCTCGTTGCAGTCAGGTAATAAATAATAGCGCTGGTCTAGAGCACAAGTGTGAGAATGCCTTTCCTTGGCTGTTTGGAACTCTGAGCCATTGGAGTTCCCAGCAATTCATTTCATTTAAAAGGTTCTTTCTTCTTAGTTAAAACTAATTCCTAAGGAGTTCATTTTATGGCCAATAACTGGTTTTTGGAATTTCAAAGCAACCAGAGTCTTGGTTAGTTTTGTTCTGATGCTGGCACAAGACTTGGATTAGAACCACTTTGCAACAGAGAAGGCCCATTGATGGCCCGTTGAATGCCCTCTTGCTCACTGCTGTAAAGAAGTAGGGGAGCTTAAGGAGTCTTACCTGGAAGTGAAGTTACGTCTGATTCATTTTTATAATGTCCTAGGAGAAATCTTCCCTTCCTTATTTGAAAGTGCATTTTTTCCCTCTCTTTTTTGCCCTCATCCTGACAAGAATTTATTTTATCTCTGCCTGATTCCCATCCTCATTTCCTTACCATTTGTTGATTGGTTTCGGAGTTCCATCCTCTCTGATTTGCCATTAGCAATTGTCATCACCTAACAGAAGATGACTAAGCACATGTTAGTAGAGGTCTAGAATGGGAGAGAGAGGCCAGTGCGTGTGAGAACCCCGTGAAAAGACGGCCGTTTTCTTTCTTTTTCAGTGGAAAGCTCTCCAGGGAGCCTCAAGAATGAAGATTTTTCTAGTAGCCCTGCTATTCCAGTGTTCAAAGACAAGAGTGAGGGAGCCATGGGCCAGCTTTCTCTCATTTTGTCTCCTCAGCACCAGATTCCTCAGAAGCTCTATATTCCTCGAAGTACAGCCACTGCTGCCTTAGGAGCTGCCGCGCGGTTGGCCACGTCCAGGAGCCTCCTGCACTGGTACCCCAGTGTGAAAAGGATGGACGCCTGAGGGGAAGGGGGGAGGGAGGGAAAGTAATCCAGATACTTAGGGCTTGGGGATTTCAGGCCAAAATAAGGAGGAGGTATTGAGAGGAAATGGTATGTTGATAGTTGATGCCTTTGTCTTCCTGTGTGACTGTGTTAGTTGCACTTTGCCAATAGTCCACTTTGTTGTGTATTGATATTAATGTTAATTTCCATTTTTATTGACCATATTTCTTATTCTGTATAGGTTTGTCCACCTTTAATGTAGTAGTTTAAAGGAGTTTTAATTTTTTTTGTTTTTTTGTTTCTGTAAAAGTTTTTCTTGTACATATCATGAATGATAAATGAAAACTGAAAAACTAATGTTTTGTGATCCATATTTAGTAAGACAAAAATTCTCTCACATCCCTATCTCCAGGAAAACGGATGTCTGAATTTTAAGGCTGCTTTTTTGATCTCGTTTGAAACCTTCCATATTAGAGAGAATCCAGGGCTGCAGTCCTTACCCTCGTTATTTCTTTGAAATAATAGGATTAAGTACTAAAACCCACACCCTGAAGCTTTGGTCACGTAAACACTTTTACGTTTTAAAAAATTAAGCTGTCTTTCAGTATAGGCAATTTCTTGAAGACTAATAACAAAATGATAGAGACCGATTGTTGAAACTTAGCCATCTGTGTAGTCCTCACACTTCCCAGGAGCCTGAATGGAACAGTAGTTCAACAGTGGTATTGTGTAAGCATTTACTTAACATGATTTCTCTGACGTCAAATTGTGTGAAATATTATATGACATCATCAAGAGAAAAGACTGACAGATGAAATTAAAGAATGAGAGTGATTCTAATTTCTTTGTGGCAAAATACCAGACTTATCCCCAAATTTAAAAAATCCAATACAGAAGCATTTCTTAGAAGTGAAATCGGAGGAGGAGTGTGACTTGCCAGCAGGCTGCCTTTGACGAGGTTCTCGCCTCACCACCCGCTCCTCCAAGGCCTCCTGTTTGGCAGTAAAGGGCAGAGCTGACCCCTAGTTCCATTCTCTCTTTCCACAACAAGGAATTTCTCCTCTTTCCTTCTCAACTACTTAATCAGCAAAATGTCCACTGTGGAAGAGAGTGAGATGAGAGTAAATATAAAAGTGCATTTAAATTTAGAGTATTACTGGCTAAAGTTTTCTGAGAATTAAGTAACCATGAAACAAAGTTAAACCCAAAGTCTCTAAATACTGATATTTTTTCTATTTAAAAACCTTAAAGAAAACATGTTTAACGCACTAAAATTTAAAAATCCAGATTCACCTTTAATTCTCATATATTTATAAGAATGACATTATATTAAAAAGTTTTTTATCAGGAAACATCACTGATAGTTGACCCAACAGAAAGAACAGGTTCCCATTTGAGTTTTTGTGATTTTACGTCAGACGTCTTTGTTGGAGAAGACAATTGAAGAGTTATATGGAAGGTCAGTGAACAGTTGAATATCATATGACAGTCAAAGATATATCATACGCAACTGCGCTAAGAATTGGAAAAGCTCTGTTTTTCATATAGGTTTAGGTAATTATCTACAATTTGTTTCTAAAGAAGAAAATTCATTTTGGAATGATGCTTCTTAGAATTCTTCCCTTAAAGAAGAAACCAAGTTTGAGTGATATATTTCACTTCTCCAGATAGGCAATCATTGGGTTTGGGGCAGGGTGAATCTGGTAGAAGCAAGATTTACATATTTAGGTCAAACTGTAACCCTCTCTATAACAGACTCAACTACCCGGAGGAACTCTGCCAACATTGGGTAACCTGACAGTGACTGATTTTACACTTTGCCAGTTAGGTCGGGATTATAAAATCACTGTGCTAAGGCTCTTTCAGAATCCTCTCCATTTGCAAATGGCCAGATACAGAATCACTTAGACAAAGCCATCCCAAACTGATGAGTGTCAACACACTTTGAAAGAAGCCTATTTAGTAATTAATATCCTAACCAATCTGTTCACCTACCTTCACCCACAAGGTGGGCTTTGTTAGGTAGTTAACTAAAATAGCCCAAAGCATCAAACAAATTTAATGGATAATTTGAAAATGAACAAATAAATTTCTCTATATGGTCAGGAACAGCAATAGGTCATGTTCAAAAGATAGGTAGATGCTGTGTGGTTTTATTGTTAATTATCTTTTATTGTCAAAAGATGGGCTGCGGTCTACTAAGAACAGCCCTCCCTCCGCACGTTTTTGGCATTAACGGCCTATTGGAAATAATAGAGGTCCTCAAGAAATGTTAACTGGGAAAGGGGCCCTGAGGTGCGTGAGAGGGACTGGGAGTGAGAACATATAGGAAAATCCTGCTTATAAACTCCTTAGGGATGGAAGAGGGAGTGACTTTACTAATTGCCACTCAGGTTTTAGCTCCAGTGGCTTGTGGCCAATACCCCTCTCCCATCCGAAAACACACCGTGGGGTATCCAAAGAGGAGCCATTCCAGCTGCCGTCAGCCACCCCTTTTCCCTCTAATTCTCACACATTCGAGATGCCAGTTGCCCATTTCAAGGCATGGAGATAACGAGAGACTTCTGCCTCCAGTCAGACTGTGCCTAACCTAGAGAGTTAGAATTACAGAATTTTGATCTAGAAGGGACCTTACATACGGAAATTTGAAGCCTAAGAAAACTGACTTGCCTATGGTCACACAGCTTAAATTCCTGTATCTGCTTTCTCCTAGCTCAGTGCCCGCGGGAAATTTCCCACAGGAAAAGACTGCAACTCCATCTTGTGTAGTTTAATGAGTTGATGCCAGAAGACGTAGTTTGGTAGATGAGTCCAGACGAATGGTTGTTCTGATGGCTGAGCACACCCCTGGGGCTGGGGGGAGGGGCTGATTGAGGAAGGTGTCATGTTCTTGAATGTGCGCAGCCTAAGTCCCAGTGGGTCCGTTCTCCAGCTGAAGAACCTGAAAGGAGGGCATTGTCAGGGATGAGAAACCAACATTTTTACAGAGCAATCTTTCTGAAGCTTCCTGTTAACATATAAATGTCAACTGTGTAGCAAGGCTTTTCTAACAAACTTTTGATATCTTTTCAGCATTAAATTTATCTTTTTTATATATGCAGTGCCACAGACAGCATTATTCATAATTTTACGTGAGACATCACTAAGACATTTAAAAGATTTCATTTCCTGTAATCCATTCAGATCTTGACATTTTCCAAGATGCCAGCCAAGGTGCTTATCAACTAAATCTATCTGTGCGCTTTGAATGTGGCTCTCTTCCTAACAGGCGTCATTTTTCTCATTCAGCCAGTCACCAGTCAACCTAGTAACCTTTTGGTGTCATTAGCCTGTTGGAACCAGAATCCTTTAAACTCTGTGTAGACAGAAACTGTTGTAACTTCTCATTCAAGGACTTCTTTAATATTTAAAATCACAATAGACTTGTGTGCCACTTTTCACATGAAATTGAGTATATCTCTACCCCAATACTGAGTAGAGGATTTATTTACAGCTAAATTTTCTTGCCGATAAGCATAGTTTTCAGGAAATGCTTTTAGCTTTCTCTTTGGTATAAACTTTGTTTTATATTTCTGTTAAAATTTTTTAAGATGTTTTTTAATTTATGGAAAAATAGTTACAAGGAAGAATGTTTACTTCTTGGTGCAATTTAGATAAATAATTTGATGAGGAAACCAGATTTATGACTCTCTCTGCTCTCTAAACTTTTGTTACAGAACTAACGGGAAGTTACTGGGATCCAGGAATTATGATTAGCCCAATCTTTGGAGTTTGTAAGAGCATTTTGTTTGATTTATTTAAATATTTGTGAAGTTGGAATTTGTTTTGTCAAAAATATCTATAGATTTTTTGTGTGTGTAATTAGTTTTTGTGTGATGATTGTGCAGGAATGAAGATTTCACTTAAATATGTGACCCAAAAGACTTAGTTGAGTAAAATACAGAATTTCCTTGTGTGGTTGTAAAAAACAGAGGTTTGACACTCTTCTTGACTAAAATATTTGTCTTCACTTTTGGCACAACCTCTGTATTCTTAAAGTACTTTGGCCTTTGCAAATCTTTGCTATATTGTAGGCAAATACTTTTATTCCATGAACTTGGAAGTTCCTTCACCCTGGAGCCTCCTCTTGAGTACCTGACGGCCACATTTCAGAGACTTGTTTTCTTCCTCTTGTTTCTAGCAACATGTCAAACCCTTCTAAGCCATCTTCCAGTGTCTTCGCTTCTCTTTTGAGACTGTTGCGCACACTGAATACCAGCACCCCCTTGTGCCGCAATGCAGAGAGCGCTTTCCTGATCCCGCAGTCGGGGCCTTGCTGCAGTGGCTCTCTGCCTCAAGCAGGTCATTTCCAGGTGCTTCTCAAACTCCAGTGAGGTGATGTTCAGTACAAAGTTCTCCTTAGTCTGTCATTCCACTGGACCATAAGTAGAAACCAAAGACAGCCCAGTTCATTTCTTACTGGAACAAATGACTCCTTAACAAAGAGTCCTGTTACTGCAGCGTTGTTACTCATGTTCTGATGAAAAATCTCTCCTGATATATATGAATTCATATATATGAAATATGAATATATAATTCATATATGTGAATATATGTGGTTTCATATATGTGAAAATATCTGTCAGTTAAATAAGATTCTCTGTGTCCTATTTAGGATACTTGTAGGCAAAGGACATCCCCAGAGGATGTTCCCTGATTCCTCTTCGTGAATCCTTCCTCCTAGTGGACACCTGTCTTCCCCTTAGAAAGATGAAAGTTAAGCAAACGTACGTGATATGGGCCAGAGCCAAAAGTTTATCCTTTCTTTTCTGAATTTCAAAAGTAATAACATTCCTATACTGATCTGGAGTAGGACAGTTAAACAGAGTAGGAAGGTTTGGCTGTAATTAAGTAATAGCAAGCTTTCTACATCTCACGTTTTAGGCAGTGGAACATCTGTTTATGATCAGGTAAACAATGTGTTTTTCAACAACCTTTTGTGCACTTGATGCAGATTTATTTTTGCTAAACTTTTTATATTTAGAAACATTACTCCACTAAAACTTTTTGGTCTTTATCTAGTTTCTACTTGAAATTGGTCCAACAGTTGACTTTACCCAAATTCACGAGGCTCAGCAAAGTCAACTGTTGGACCTGTGCCCCACTGGTCAAGCCATGCTGTAGCGGCGTACCACGTGCAAAATAGAGGAAGATTGGCACAGACATTAGCTCACGGCCAATCTTCTTCACCAGAGGAAAAAATCAACTTGATTTAAGAGAAAAATGATGAGTTTACAATAAAAGCCAAATCAGTTGTAGGAAACATCATGTCATTAATTATCAGTAAACCTGCATCCTGTACTGGCTTTGCTTAGGACCTTTTCAGATTTACAGAGTCATTCAACATATTGTGGAAATCGATTTTTGGTATTAAATCTAGAGTTTATGGAATTTTTGTCAAGTCTCTCAGTTAAGTTGAAGGGGATTAACACTCATACTGCCTTGTGCTCTTGAGACATAACCTTATTAAAAACCATTTGCTTGAGCAACTTGGTAGAACCATGAGGTCATTAACTATTTTAAGTAAATGTCAAGCACTGAGGACTGTCTTCCCAGAAAGTACACATTCATACAAAATTGTTCCCTAATTTCTAGGAGTCTATGACTTCTGAAGCTCACCCTATACTTTCTTGAACAGGGAAAGGTCAGAAAAATCTCCCTCCTCCCCCGGCTCCTCCTCCACCTCCTCCCGGGGTGTTCCCTGCCACCATCCACAAGTTGCCTCAGACATAAACCTAGGAGAACGATCCTTCACTGCTCCTGGCCTTCATCCCCCCACTGGATCCTCTATAAAGGCCTGTCAAATTCTACCTCCTAAGGATCTCGTTAGTCCACCTATTTCTCTCTCGATTTACTGCCACCACCCAAGCCGAGCCGCCTTCATGTCTTTTCGGGCATGTGGCAGAGGTTTAGTAAGTTTTATTGAGTGAATTAATGAGTGAACAGGACAGAGTATATGATATAAATAAGGTCTGTTGAAACCTTGATCCCTTTTCTATAACACCATATTCTGAACATCTGTAAAACAGAAGGCTTTATCGAGAAGAGTCTAATCAAACATCCCATTTAACCTTTGCATTTCAAATTGAATAAAGAGCATGTCCTCCAGATAAGAGAACTGAGTAGAAAGACTGGAAATATTTTGTCAAGGTTATTCTTCTGCATAAACCTCATTTGGTTATTTTCCTGGTTCGGTTTGTGAAAGTGCAAAGAAGAAAAAGAAGCAGTTCAATGCGTGCAGCTTCTCAGCCACTTGGCCTCTGTTCAGGAAAGTCTGATTTACCAAACTGGCTTCTTTCAGTTTGTTGATCGTTCTTTGTTCTTGGAGGCACACCTCTGACTTCCCAGTTTATTTTCCAGAAAATCCTTTCAGCACCACAGACCCCAGTTCAGTGGACAAACAGAAGAAATTCATTTAAAATGGTTAACGTATTAGTTTGGACGTAAATTGCTTTTTGTGGACTGTCTGGTGGCCTCTCAGTTTGGGGCTAAATTGAGAGAGAGAGCTGTGCCAAATATTGAACTCCAGGGGCAAAAGCGAAATGAAAGAAGCCAAAGAACTCCTTTTTAGTTTTTTGGCAACTTCTCTGCCATTAATACTTTTTACGAATATATTTACTTTGAAAATTGCCATTGTGAAGTTTTTGTTCTGTTTTGAATTCTTTGTAGTGTGAGAAAATGTGATTTTAAAAAAATTGCTAACGCAACTAAAGAGATGAGCAGGGAAACTACCACTAGCTTTAAATTTGTTAGATGGCAAAGGTTAAGTGATGGATTCTCACTGAAAACTGAAAGCTGACGACTAACCATTCCGGAGCGTCACCGAGGCGGCGGGGAGGGCAGCAGGGTGCAAGCCTGGCCTGGATTTTAATCGCCTGGGGGAACTTTCAGAAACTTCCACAGCTTGGACCACATCAGCCTCCACGGGGTCTGACTTAATTGGTCCCAAGTGTTTCAGTGAGCAGCAGGGGCCGAGAACCGCAGTCCAGGAGGATAATCCAGCCGCGAGAAAAAACCACACACGCGGCTCCTGACCTTTCTGACCGTGAGCTTTGGAGTGGGCATTCTCGAGGGGGTTAGAGGAGCATACCGCCCGGTGAGGGGAGAGCGTCTTCCCCTCATGCTGCCCGCCCATTTCCTCCGCCTTTGCCTCGTGCTGACAGAGCCCACCGTCCACCCCCGTCCCCCGCATGTCTGACGCCGTGAGCCGCTGTGACAGGTGGGAGTGTTCCCCCCTCAGAAACTCCGGCGTGGGAGTAAGAGTTAACTACTGTGCTCAAAAGTCATTTTTACTTTAAATAAATGAGACAGGGTAGTGATCGACTACTGCAACTGAATTTTTTATTTTAATTTTTAATTGTAGTAAGAACACTTAACAGATTTACCCTCTAAACAGATTTCCGGGTACACGATATAACATTAACTATCAGCGCACTGTTGTACAGCAGATCTCTAGAATTTATTCGTCTTGCGTTATTGAAGCTTTAACCCCACTGATTAGCGACTCCCCATTTCCCCCAGACTGATCTTAATTTGATTATCTAATGTCTAAATCCCATGTTCTCTGTTCTCTCGCGGCGGCACATTCCCACCAACTCCGGTAAAGATTTAATATGGGCGGTGCCATAGGCTTGAATGGTGGCTCTTCCCCTCTCTCAACACGGACCAAATGTTCCAGCAGCACGGAAAGTGTTGAAACAACATGCCCACCGGTGCAGCCAGCAGAAACCAAACAGTAATCATTTTATCTTCAAGATAAACTGGGACACTCGGGACCTTGAGGTGAAACTTCAACCCAGCTCCATTTCCTGCCGTCTGTGGGAGGAGTCTGTCGGAGGGCTGGGGGCCTGGTGTCGCTGTGGGTTTTTTGGCAGCACCGCCGGGCTCCTCCAGGACCAGACA